GTAAGATTACGATAAGTTACACCATCAGAAGCGCATATAACATCAGATTTTGCATTCTTGAATGCTTCTGCTTTTTTCAAACATCTTTGACTAATAGTACATTGTTGAGTATCGTTTAATTCTTTCACTTTCTTATTGTGATGATTGGCGGCATAACAACGAGCAAAACGAAGTTGGCATCGATTAAGATAGAGAACACCATCGCTACCGCAGATTGGTTCATCTTTAGTACCACAATTATTTGGACACTTTACTAAGCACTTTCCCGTATATTTAATCGATAATGCTGCTTCTTGTTTATTTTTACTATTAATTTTCTTCTTACATTGTGCAATTGTAAAATAGCATAGATTAGAATAAGTTTTTCCATCACTAGCGCAAATTGGTTGCGATTGATCACTCTTACATTTGGATTCATGGCCACATAGAAGAGTATCGTGATCACATTGACCATTATACATTTTGGTAATATCAATCTTTTTCAATTTTGCTTGACATACAGCTGTCTGGAATTGGCATTGATTGGAATAAGTTTGGCCGTTACTAGCACATATGGGTTGATTATCTTTCGTTGAATTTGATGATTTACAGCTTTGCTGGCAAGCTTGTTGACAAGTACCTTTACGATAAGCGATATTAATGACATAACGGGAAGTACAATTAGCTAATCGAATAAAGCAGATATTGCTATAGGTTTGGCCGTTACTACCACAGAGTGGATTCACTTTATTGACTTTACATCGATAGAAACTCTTACAAAGAACGCTAGGTAATGGAATTTTGGTCGCTAAACCATTTGAAGGTTTAGTACTTGCTATAGTCGCTATTGGCAAATTAGTATTAATAGGCTGTGTTGCTGGCACGGTACTTGGCAATATCGTGGTTGGCATGGTGCTTGGCAATATCGTTGTTGGATTGATTAATGGCTTACAAAAACTTTTACGTACAACCTTTAATTTCGACTTTTTTAATTTACTTGCTTTACACTTTGCAATGATAAATTGGCATTGTGAGAAATACCATTTTCCATCACTAGCACAAATTTGCTTGGATTGATAATATTCTTCCTTATTACATTTGACCGAGCAAATAGGGTCTAAGCATCGATAGTGTTTATCCAATTGCAATGCATTATTATACGTTAATAATTGGCGTCTTCTTTCATATTGATAAACACATAAATTATAATAAAGTCTACCATCGTTGCCACAAACTGGTTTTTTATCCGTTAGATCGCAGCCAGGTGCGCATCTTCCTTGATAAGCAATTTTCATTTTTTTCTTCCATTTAGGTAAATTGCGATTATGAACACACGATGCAATTTTATAAGCACAAAAATTGACAAAAGTCTCACCTGTGGTTGCACAAATGGGTGCAAAAGTTGTATTGCTTTGACAATTATATTTAGTCTGGCAACGCTTGACTTTCGTATAGACTGGATGATGGCAAGTTTTAGTATAATAATTAACGCGCAATTTGGTTTTTTTATCCCTTATTTCAGCTGCACATTTATCAATTTTAAAATTACATCGATTAATATACATAGTGCCATCGCTAGCACATACTAAGGCGCCTTTAGTACCACACTTACGCCAGCAGTTTTTATACGAAGTTAATGGAGCTTCAGGACATGCAAAATGATATTTGATAGCATTGGTTATATTCCATCCAAATCGGCAATAAATTGCGTTCATTATGCATCGATTGACATAATTGATATTTTCGCTAGAGCATACTGGTTGATAGGTATTTTCACATATTGGGCATTTGGAAGGCGGCGAAAAAGGTTGGGCATCATGGAGTAGATATTGTTTTGGTTTAACTTTAGATAGTGGTTGCGTTGGTTTAGCGGCAAGAGGATGAAATTTTTCTTGCGGAAGGATATCATTCTCCTCCTCTTCTTCCTCATCATCATCATCATCGTCATCATCGTCGTCGATACTCTCGTTATTAGAATTGTTTTGGTTGATATTATTACTGCTATCCTTTAATCCATCCGATTCAAGAGTGTTATCATAATTCATAGCATGGCATCGAGTTAAATAAATCTTAGGCCTATCGGGTGAATTGGATCGTGAACAATTTTCCATTCTCATAAAACATGAATTAATATAAACCCGTTGATCAGAGCCACAAACTGGATCGTAGGATACTCGACAAGATTTTGGACACTGATAATTAATCTCATTAACTCTTTCTAATTGACTTGTATTACAACTATGCCAATGTTGAATAGTCGATAATGATAAAGTGGATGGATGTTGGCGACTACCATTCCTACAAAACCATTTTTTCAATTGGCAATAATTAGGATATTCTCGGCCATTTTGACTACAAACAGGCATAATAGTATTGATACAATGTTGTCGACAATGGACAGCCAATGTTTTCCCGTTATGCTTTTGATCGTCTTGGTTATAATGTGTAATAAAATCAATACCAGTTAATTCAGAAACTGAACTACATCGTCCATAGAATATCATTTCTCGATGTTGATTGCTTGATGTATGGATAGAATGATGCTGAATTAAATGGCACATGGATTTTTTAAATTGGCAAGGATCTAGGTAAAGATGGCCATGGCTTGTACATATAGGTATATCTCGTGGTTGATGACCACTACGATCACGTACTAAAGCCATTTGTGCATAACTACAATTTTGATCGCAAGGCGATGTTAATTCTGTGCCCAGACAAGGGCCATGGTGTGACTGAAATAGCCATCGACCATGTCGAGCTAATTGACAACTGAACATTTTTAAATAGCAATTGTTAATAAATGTAACTCCATTAGAAGCGCATACCGGTCGGAATGATGTCGATGAACATTGCAATGGACATTCAACATGAATAATATGACTTAATGCATTAGAACGGTTTCGGCATGTGCCCAAATAGGCTATCGTTGGGATCGATTGGCTTTGATGTTGTTGGTAATACAACTTGGCTTTTTCAAATTGACATCGGTTACGATAGGTTTGAGAATTACTGCCACAGATGGGATCCCAATACAGCGGGCAAAATTGTTGCTGCTTATCATGGTAAGATCCACTTTTACCAACCGATTGATCGCCTAAAACACCTAGATAGAATTAATGGATACCGAGTGAGTAATATCAATATTGCTCATTATGCAAGGAATACAAAATAACATCATGGAAACATAGCAAGAGAGCATTTTTCCTGCATTGAATGAAACACTTTAAATAATAATGCTTTTCTCTTTCATCGTTAAAAGTCCGTAATAGTCTGTTTTAAAAGTGCCTGTTAGTATGGTTTACCGGATGTATTTTATGCATCTTGTGGAAAAAATAGATTGAGAGTACTGTTGAAATTTATTCCTTAGAATAAAAGAGTATTGCAATAGGATAGCTAGAATCGGCCATTCAAAATAACAAGCCAATGTCGACAAACCTGGATAAAAGATACGATAGGAAATACGAGTAGGATAACTTAAATGGGTTACTGAAAAGGATAGCTAGTTTTCAGTAACGCGGGCGGAAATAATGGAATGACTGGAATAAGTTAGCGAGATCGATAAATCGATGTCGATAACGCCGAGGAATAGGTAGGATAAGAGGGTCTACTTTAGTTATTCTATTTTCGTAGATCCTTCTCTAGCTTTTCGCCTACGATGTCGACATCGAATCGTAGTTTTCAAGACTTCTAACGGTACGAATTTCAGTTATCCTATTTCGTGGATCCTTTCTATCCTATTTTTTTGTCTGCACTGTCGACATGGATTTGGAGTTTTAGTGATGTATATCGGTTTTACGTTATTTCGTAGATTCTTGACAATTACAAGTAGATTTAATGTGGGCTGGGCTAGAATATACAGGCACTGAAATGGAAAAAAGCGGATTCAATATTGATCTTCTAAGAGATCTGAGCATATTTGCATGGATAGAAAATTTATTCGCAAAAGAGATATCGGATAAGATGTAGCGGAGACTAGATTATAGAATACTAGCGTTGAAGTATTAAAAAAAATGGGATTCAATGCAGGATGTTTTAACAAACTGGAGCATACTTCCATGGAGAGAGAATTGATTCATAAATTGATGTCGGATAAGAAGATACAATAAAGTCTAGATTATGGAATACTAACGTTGAAGTAGAAAAAATAAGATTCTAGGTGTGATATTTTAAGGGGCTGGCGAGGGCAGCAAAGGATAAGCTATCAAATTTATTGGCAATCTATTTTACCCCCTTATGACATTATTATTATTTAATATTTAGACTGGTTCTTCTCTCATGATACTTTGTATTATTCTACACTAGACAAAATGATTCGTTATTTCAGTGACTAGATTGGCTTCCACCTAGAATTCTAAATTTACACATGATTTGAATCAATAGCCCCTACGTTCGACTATCCAGACAGTTGGCAAATACAAAAAAAGCGGTATTGCTTTTTATTCTCTCAAATGGATTAAGGGAAAATGGAGTTAATGCTCTATATCCTGTTGTCACACACCACTAGTGACAAAGTAGTTATTCCTATTATAACTGAAATTAAGGATAGATAATACGGTTAATTATGGCTGATAGAATTTTTTGCATGGGGGCGCTATGAAAACTCGGCCGTAATGAAATTATGGGTAAACATTCCTTCTTAATTGAAAGGGTGCTCTAGTCTTTAATTGCCACTAAAAATATTCAGTGTCAGTAATGGAATATCCCTTTAGTCAAGTATAACTAATATTAGTTAATTAATTGTTAGCAAATGCTGAAAGAAAGGGGGAGAGAAACCTTATGCGTTGATATTTTATACTTCATAAAATGTTTTTGTCTACGCTAATCTAGGCACAATGTACACGTAGAACAACACCCAATTTTATACGATAAAGGAGTTCAAAAATGAAATAAATAAAAAAATTTTTTCTCTCTATGTGGATCCTTTCGCTACTTTACGTTTATTAATTAATGTGATGAAGTAAGATTAATGAAAACAGATATTTTTCTTTCTATTGAAACTTTTAGTCGTTTAATACTCGAAGAAGAGGAGTTGCAATGGTGTAAATTATAAAGTAAACCTAAATTCTTTCCTAAAGCAGTATTATATAATTTGAATCTCTTCCTAGGATTTTTTCTGTACTCTAATCTTTCACTTCGTCGTATTATATTGATTAATTAATATGATAGGGTAAATACCGAATAAAAACAGAGTGATACTTTTTCTTTCTTTCTAAACTCTTAGTCGTCTACTATGTCATTGTTAACAGAAGAAGGGGAATTGAAATGATGAAGAGGATAGCATCTGCTCTATCATCAAAAGATTTACTACACCCAATAACCTTTAATAAAATTCAATAATTTCATTTTAGAAACAGTCTTGAAATGATTTGAAACGATGCCTGCTTATCTCACAAGCTGTAGACGCTTGTTATGGCTAGCCATCTCAGCAAGCTAGAAAGAGATTGTCAATACGAATTTTACTTTTTCAAAATCTTGCTACCGTCAATTTCTACTTTAGAACAGAATAGATTTAGACAATATTCATTTTAGTAGCCATGATGAAACACCGGTTTACAAATATTTTTTTCAAAAATAACTTTATAAACTAAAGTTGAATTTGTCATCTATTTTTTTTCCTTTCAGCGCTGCAAGCTGAAGTATCATTGTTATCATCAGCATTATTTTCCATATAAATGTATCTTGATAAATGGCTTGAAAGTAGCTAGAATAAACACTATTGGACAAATTTAATTAAGAAATTAAATATTATTATTCGAAAAGAAATTCAAATAGGGTGATGAGATTCGAAGTCATGTTGGCTGCAATTGAAAATGGATCATCAAAATCAAGCGTTTGATAAAGCAAGGAAAATACTTTGTCTTGGTCACCATCATGATTTTTACACCTAGTTTGGACATTTTGATTGATTTCACTTTTTTATCAAGCCCTCCGCACGAAATTACTCTTAGTGGTATATTTAATTTTCAATCAAGTAGATAGTAAACAGAAAACCACATTAATTCACTTTAGCTATCAGCATATGAATACAGACAGTGATCCCCGCTGATAGTGTTATTGAAAATAAAAGCATAGAATATTTTTATTTGTTGATGTTTGATATTCTATAACTATAGGATTCAATTTTGGCGGAATTACTTGATAACAATTGCTAATATTGAAATGACTGTAGAAAGTAGATTAAAGTCGATTGAGTAAATGTAGATTAGAGCACAATATTTTATCGTGGAATCCAAGGATGCTGTGAATTTTTTACCCCCTTTATCATTCTCGGCAAAAAAGGATAAGTCAATAGATTACCGAAACTGAGCTATACATTGGTGAACAACGGTGATCAAATGGATTGAAGGATTAGTATTATTTAGACTTGTCTAATCTGAGCGGAAAAAATTATCTATCTAATAAGGGATAATAAAATGAAGAAAAATCGTATAAGGGACTTAATAGGTATCAAAAAATAACTATGTTCTGATAGAGAGCAAGGTAAATGCAATGGATTGATATTGAGCTAGAAAAAAACGATCTTATTTTGCCTAAATAACTTGTTGCTTGTGAATGAAAGTGATAGAAATGATAAACATGATCATTTTATCCATATGATTTAATTTTTTTTACCTAATGGGTAGGCCACCACTAAGAAAATAACCCATCCAATCATGATGTTGAACTGAATACGTTGCAGTTGTTGTTGATAGGGCGATTATAATTTAATTTTTCCACAGAGTTGATCGCTAGCAATCTTGACGTTGATTCGACAAATACTACAAGGAAATTGAATATAAGTTGTAGCGGTTATATTTTATTTTAATGGTTCTTCTTATTATCCTTCTACTTGACGGAGTAATCGATCTTGGACGATAGCCAACTAATCAAGATTTCAATTCTATCAGGAATGGCATCAATGAGGTACGTCAAATCATGGAGAGATTAAGAAAGTAACTGAATGATACGAGTTCCATTGGGCTCCTTAAAAATTAAAGGGGGGTTGGGTAGACAACTTGAGCAGATGTTGATGTTCACATAAATAAATTTAGAATATGCAATTGCCTTCATTGATTCTTTTGACTAGTATTGTCTTAACGGCTTTCTATTTTCTTGACAACTCGCATACTTATGGCTAAGCTAAGCATTGGTGTCAATTCGTTTGGTAACGCCTTGAGAAGATCAATTTGACTTCAAGCTACCTTTAAGCAGCACTAATGAGACATAAAAAAAGGGCAATTTTATTTTTTTTTCTCCTCACTTTGGACAATTTTATTTTTTTCTATTAATATTAATAGAAGAGAATGAATACAATTTCATGCATAACCGTTGAATGTGAGAAGAGAGAAGAACAAAAAATAATGAGACGATGATTATCGTTGCTACTATCAATGCATTAGTATAACAAAACCAAAATATTCTAAAAGTTGTAGTCTGTAGAAAAGCTAGTATAGTCAATGAAATGGAGACATTTTGACAAGTTACTAACTGGATTACAATGAATTTTTTTCAAGCGTGGAATGTTTCTAATAAAAGCTGTCTTGTTATTTACCTTTATTTGATTCTTATTGTCTTCAACGAATAGACTTCCATCGACACGCTTCTATACAACATGATAATTGTATGGCATTATTTTCAATCCATTACTCCTGTTGTCCATTCAATGGATAGTCTACTACAAATAAGAGAGGAAATGACTATTTTGCAACTGGTTGAAAATAGAAGTCAGAGGGAAAAATGAGATCGAAGAGAGGAGAGGAAAAAAGAATTCAAATCGACCGATCATATCATTATCGCTTAGCGTGATAATAGTTGGATATATCATCATCATCATCATTGAGGAGATAGTTATTGAATTTCTCATCATCTAAATGCGATCATGTCGTTAATATTTGACATCACTCCAATTGGATGATGATCGTCCTTTGCAATTGGTATGATTGCAAGTAATAAACGATGTCGATAGAGCTTCGCCATCATGAAATAATTCTTTTTTCTATTATCATTATTATGATTAATAATATCTAGTTATTATATCGCAAGGGGTTGAAAATTGCGCGGCTAAATGAATTCGTTACTTTGCGGAAAATAAACCGGTGTCTTCTTTCCTGATGGAGTATCAATTTTCATTGTAGACGACGTATGGAGATTGATTGTTCCATTTCTCATTAGCAACATTGCTCTATTCTTCATTCTGCTAAATAATTGTATACAATATTTGGACAGTTGTATTGATGATAGATAACATTGGGGGAGGGAAGGAAAGAAAGAATATATACGGGAAAAAAAACCTCAAGGCGCTAAAAGATTATCATGACAAATAGTTGACTTTTTTTTTAGCTTGAGGTTAATAGTTGACTAGGGATAACATTCAATTAAGTAATAGCGGGTAATAACGTTGAAAGTATTCATAGTCATGCTAATGCCCAAGGTAAAAGAATTTATTGTAAGTGAATTGTTCTCTATGGACTGACGTAGATCAATAAAGTATTCTTCCATATCAATGGCTAAATTGCTCCTATTACGCAAATAAAACACAGGTAAGTAAAGTATGCCAACAATCAATCAACAGTAGGACAAAGATAGATAAACTAAAGCGGCTGTAGCTAACGTATCGGATCGATATTGCAGACAAATATTTTGAATTAGTATTATCCTTCATCATTAGCTAATAATCCCATCAACAAATTATTTTCTCTTCTTCTTGACTAAAGTTATTTCTACATTAGATAAAATACAATTTTATTTCTAGATATTAAAATTGGCATGCCAAATAGGCAAAAAAGGATTACTATTTGTAGCGATGGATCGCTCGGCAAGCTGCAATCGTGACATCTTATTCCCACTATCCCCTCCTACCCAGTGAGATTACATTTTTCTCAAGTAAATTTTCCACCAGGGTCATCTTTGCAAAAGAGGGAGTTAACATATATTGTACATGCTTAAAATAGTTGTATAGTCTTGTAGGATAACTAACAATTCCATTAAGATATGGAATCTATTTCCAGTATTATCATGATAAAAAATTCTATTCTCACATTTTTCATCCGTCATGGTACATTTTTCTCAGGTAATTTTTGATCACTCATCACTGACAAAGACGACGGTAACTAATTGAGTTGTTAGAAATACCTAAAATACCAATTTATAGCTATAATTTGTTCTTAATTTAGAAGTAGAATAATTTAAGTCAACTATGTATACTTTTATCCGCTGCATTTTTCTCAAGCAAGTAATACCTTTATGATATTGATGAAACAGCTGATTTATACAGACTGGTATGATAAGATAGATTAAGATCGATTTTTCTTAAGCAATTACTACCGTCATAATATGAGTGAAGCAGCTGATTAATACAGACTAGCATGATAAAATAGATTAAGATC